CAAACATTTGTCTTCATATTTCTAAATACAAGTGTTTCTGGAAAGTTTTTTTAAACATAAAGTTCAATAGATAAAATCCTGTTTCACCACTGACTTATATTACAGAAGCACCCATCCAGCTACCCAAAAAGGAAACCCTAGTTAATTAACAATATTTAGACAGAAAGCTTTCAGATAGGGCTTAACCCTATGACAACCAGCAGGCTAGAGTTCCTGGTTTGCTCTACCTGATGAAATTTGTAATCCAGGTAATAGTGTACTTCAGGACATTGCAGTTGTCTTTGAATTCCTTTCAGTTTCTTTTGTCTGTACAGAAGAGACCTCTGGCACTTTTGTATGGAATAGTTACCTTTGATTCTCTCCAAAGTGTTACAAAGCAGGTTTTTGTTTGGTTTGAGAATTACTGGCCGGGCATGGTGGCTCATGCCTGAAATCCCAGCACTTTGGGAGGCTGAGGTGGGAGGACTGCTTGAGCCCAGGAATTTGAGACCAGCCTGGGCAACATAGTGAGACCCTGTCTCTACAAAAAATGAAAACAAAAAAAGCCAGGTGTGCTGACATGGACCTGTTGTCCCAGCTACTCGGGAGGCTGAGGTGGAAGGATCACTTGAACCTAGGAAGTTGAGGCTGCAGTGAGCCATGTATTCTTCATCCTTCACTGTATAGCATGATATGGGAAGATCCTGCCATTTCCTTGTTGTTGTTTTGCTTTTTGTTTTGTTTTGTTTTTTTAAGACAGGGTCTTGCTCTGATGCTCAGGCTGGTCTCAAACTCCTGGGCTTAAGTGATCCTCCCATCTTGGCCTCTCAAAGTTCTGGGATTACAGATGTGAGACACCACTCCTGGCTGCTCCTGTCATTTCATTTGTTTTTCCAGAAAATTATGCATTGTGGTTTTACACTTTGAAGGAAGTCATGGAAAACAGAAATGTATTAGACATGGTCCCATTTACCCCATATCTTATACTCCATAAAAAGTAATAAGGCAAATACAGCAGTAATTCTAAACTTGGAACACTCATGATCACTATCATAAGAGAATGTGTATTAAAGAAGAAACAGTTAATTTTCTAGCTGAACAATATCAAGGACAATTTTAACTGGTTTCCAGTTTGACTGAACTAGACCGACTCTTAGCTACTCTAGTTCTAGCCATAGAAATTAGATTGAATGGAGAAAAGGATTAAAATAAACCTTGGTGGCATATTGACTTTGAGGTGTTAGAAAACCTGGAAGTGTACCAGAAGTCTTCCATGCTGTGATAAAATTTGAAGCCAACATGAAAGTGGAGTTTAACTAGGGAAAGAGGATGGAGCAGTGGTTATCAGAGTGTGGTCCTCAGACCAGCAGCATCACCCAGAAGCTTGTTAGAAAGGCAGATTTTCAGGCCCCATCCATGATCTACTAAATCTGAAACTCTGGTGATGGGGCCCAGCAGTCTGTTTTAATGCTTTCCCGGGGATTCTGGTGCACACTAAAGTTTGAGAGTAACTGAGACAGAGGGAAAATGTGGGACTAAGGACTCCAGTTTAAGGTTTGTAAATTTGAAGACAACAAAAAGAAGTCTCACCGTTGGAGGGAGCCATGGCAGTGAAACTTCCATAAAAGCCACAGGAGGAGAGAATTTCAAGGAGATAGTGTTGTCCAGTTCTACAGGAAATTTAGTTCTGTTTGGGATATTTGTACCACTTCCAAAGTGAGACCTTGTGTTTGCCTCTTACCTTTTTCTGAGCCTCAGTTTTTAAGATGAGTCTGGCATCATGTTCTGCCCCCAACTTCATAAGGTTTTTGAGTGAATCACATTAGATAGTAAGCCTAGCATGGTAGCACACACCTGTAGTCCCAGCTACTCAGGAGGCCAAGCCAGGAGGATTGTTTGAGCCCAGGAGTTCAAGACTGGCCTGAAAAATATAAAGACCCTGTCTCAAAAAAAAAAAAAAAAAAAAAGATTCAATGGCATTATCAAAGTAAACAAAGATTCATGAAGTAGCTAATCTTTCTGTTACCATAACCATGAATTCTGGCCATAATTATTTCTCTCTCTCTCTCTCTTTCACTCTCTCTCTCTCTTTCTTTCTTTTTCTTTTTTTTTTTTTTTTTTGAGACAGAGTCCTGCTCTGTTGCCCAGGCTGCAGCGCAGTGGCACCATCTCTGCTCACTGCAACTTCCACCTCCCAGGTTCAAGTGGTTCTCCTGCCTCAGCCTCCCGAGTAGCTGGGATTACAATCACGCGCCTTCATGCCCAGCTAATTTTTGTAGTTTTAGTAGAGACAGGGTTTTACCATGTCGGCCAGGCTGGTCTCAAACTCCTGACCTCAGGTGATCTGCCCGCCTCGGCCTCCCAAAGTGCTGGGATTACAGGTGTGAACCCCTGTGGCTGGCCAGCTCTGGCCATAATTCTAAAACCAAACTTTAGGACTAAAGCTCTCAAGAAGACTGGTGTTTTTGTTTTTGTTCTTTTTGTTTTATAACAATGCTCCCATGTACTTGCATGAGTTAAATGCTGGTAGAGCAGATACTAGAGGATAATGTAACCTGCCTGGATATCAAGTACATACCAGTCCTCAGGGACTGGCATAGATGGTGGAGATGCCCCATTTCCTTAATATACATTTTTTTGTATCTTCTTACTTGGAAATGTGACAGTTAAGATAGCTGAGTCAGCATTTTAACTGTTTATTAACAGTGGAAACAGATGGAATTTGAGTCATATTTCTGGGAGGGCAACAGATTCCATACTGATAAGAAATTTTGTGTTCCCTTTTTGTAGGAATTGTAAAATGATAACAAATATCACTTATTCTGATTTAACAGATGGAAAAACTGAAGTATACAGTAGTGATGCTCAAGAGGGGCGCTATGCATAGACAATGAAATTTACCACCTATGCAGTATGATTTGATAGGTGCTTACATTCCTCAGGGTCACAGATTTGGTCCCCTGACAATCTGCCAGCATACTTGTAATTCCTGCTGTTCACAGTTACTCTTTCGGGGCCATCTCAAGGTTCTCAATAAATGCCTATTTGAGTGATTGAACAAACAAGATACTAAAGACATAAACTCCCTTAAATTGGATCGCTGCCTTATCTGAAAAGTGTAAGATTATCGACTCTAGCATTATTCTGAATATATGTATACGATTTAACCCATTATTAGCTACCATTTAGGTGCAGGGTTTTGATGGAGTAGTATCCAGTAGGCTGATGTTTTGTGTAGTGAAGATGTAGGAAAATGCTAGAGTTTTAGAGCAGTGCCTTTGGCTTCTAGGATCTTAGGGAAAGTAGGAGATGTGATACGCTTAACTAACCTGGATGCCGTGTGAGATTTATTTATTTTTGAAACAGGGTCTAGCTCTGCCACCCAGGCTGCAGTGCAGTGGCATGATCACGTCTCACTGCAGCCTGGACCTCCTGGGCCCAAGTGATCTTCCCACCTTAGCTTCCCAAGTAGCTGAGACCCCACCATGCCCAGCTAATTTTTTGTATTACTATTTGTAAAAATGGGGTCTTGCTTTGTTGCTCAGGCTGGTTTCAAACTCCTGGGCTCAAACAATCCTCCTGCCTCAGCCTCCCACAGTGCAGGTATTACAGGTGTGAGCCACCATGCCTGGTCTGCATGAATTTTGATATATCAAAAGGAAGTAAATAAGATGGGAGAGATGCACTGTTCCTGGATTTCTGGAGGTATTGAAATACAGGTTGATGTGTAGAGTAGCTGGAGCAAACTCCTATTCCATCTCCTTGCTTCAAAAACCCATTTAACATATTTTCCTTGGATAGAGAATGTGTCATATTAAACCGATAAGAACAGATACTACACTTGATCTTAGCCAAAAGGGTAAGTTTCACTGGAGTAGCCTGCAGTAGATCTGGACTTTCTCCTCTGGAGACCACGTAGGAGGCTACTTTAATAGGTGAAAAGATGATAAGGAATTTAAAAAGGAACATTGCAGTGGTAACAGACAGGGACTGATGGAAATATTTCAGGAATAGCATGGAAGATAATATTCCATATCATCTGCACTCTGATTCACTCTGGCAAATGGGACACGTGGGGGATCGGCTTCCTAAGCTATCCCAGTAATTTACACACCTGTTTGTTTCTGTGCCTATGAAATCGCCAGTGTCTTTAAGGTAAGGATCATATATTTTTATCTCAGTGTTCCTAGAACCCTTTCAATGACACACTGAAAGGTGGCCTGTATGGTTGCTGAATCATTGGAAAATAGACATTCATAAATAACTAAAGATTACAGGTTATCTCACAGTAAAATCATTAGCATTAAAGGCTCAGTAATGACTGATAAGACACTACACTGATTACATTTCAACCTAATCTTTTTAGCGATTTGTTTTTAAAAGTCTCCATTAAACTGGTAAATTCCTCATCCCACAAATAGCCATAGAGACTGGAGTGCCAGCTTCAAAATACTTTTTTTTTCTTTTTTCTTTCTGAGCTGAAGTCTTGCTCTTGTTCCCCAGGCTGGAGTGCGATGGCGAGATCTCGGCTCACTGCAACCTCCGCCTCCCGGGTTCAAGCGATTCTCCTGCCTCCGCCCCCCAGTAGCTGGGATTACAGGCGCCTGCCACCACGGCCGGCTAATTTTTGTATTTTTAAAAAAATAGAGACGGGGTTTTACCATGTTGACCAGGCTGGTCTAGAACTCCTGACCTCAGGTGATCCACCCGCCTCGGCCTCCCAAAGTGCTGGGATTACAGGACACCCACCCAGGCCACCGCGCCTGGCCTCAAAATACTTTTTTCCTTAGCTGTTTTTATCGAGTGGCCAGGTGCCTATTATAGTGTTCTAAGAAGACGTTAGTCGGGACCAAGAACTTGGGAAGTACTGGTTTCCATATCGATTTGGTGGTGATCGTAAACTGATTCAAATCTCTGAATCCCAACTGCACGCCGAATTTACGGAACCAAAAACGCTCTGACGCCCGCATTTATGGGCGGACGCACAAGTATGTTACGATGGCTCGATTGCTTTTGCCTAGCGGAAATCATTCAGTAAGGACCAAGCACTAAATAACCAAGGAAAAGGAAGTGAGTCAAGGACGTACTCCCCTTGGTGACAGCGTGGGCCGCTGAGATTTGGGAGTCTGCGCCTGGTCCGCTTGGAGTTCTGAGCGGATGGAAGATTTCAGTCATGTTTGCACCCGCGGTGATGCGTGCTTTTCGCAAGAACAAGACTCTCCGCTACGGAGTCCCCATGTTGGTGAGTGGAGTGAGGAGGATCTTCCGCAAGGGGTGGGACCCTCCTCCTCGGCAGGATCAAGACCTGGGAGGGAATCTGTAAAATGTGAAGTTAAGTGGGGGCACTCGGGCTAGGAAGGGGCTAGCGACGGGCTGAGAGCTTTCCTAAAAGCTCTTCTACCAGTCTTTTCCTACGCTTTCCTAAAAGCTCTTCTACCAGTCTTTTCCTACCCACACCCCGCACTTCCCCGCCGCTGTCCTCCACTCCCAGTTGGATCTCAGGTGTACTAGGATCTGTCTGCTTGTGAGCGTGGCATCTTTCCCATCGTCGAACGCGGTCATTGTTACTACCCTTGATTCACAGTTAAGTGAATTGAAGCTCAGAGAATTCAGTCAGAACCACAGTTTAAGCCAAGTTTGGATGATTACTAAGCTTGCTTCCTCACCGCCACCTTAGCTATATTTTGACGATACTGTGGATCATTGGGACTAGATGTATTCCATTTAACTGTACCAATTCCTGGTATCTTTCTGTTTCATCTTTCTAGTTTGTGAATTAGCTTAATTCTTAGAGTTGTGATGAACTAATAACACCTTGTGAATAAAGTGTTGAGTACGGTGCCCGCCACATTGTAGCCAGAATGGTTGCTGTGTTATAATTTCTTAAGCACGTTGAAAACAGCTTCCGTGTTTGTATGGTTGCATCCAATTCCACACTGAGTTCCCTAAGGATGTTGTGAAAATGCAGGCTGAGGCTGGCTTAAGACAACCGGAGTTGAAATCCAGATGACTCTATTTGCTTTTTGATCACGGGCAATTTATTTTGCTTCAGCAAGCCTTGATGTGTTAGTAAATGAAATAATTAAAGCATATGAACAGAAACTGCTTTCTTTTAAATACAGAAAAGATTTTTATTTTGTATGAATATTGGCACAGATGAAATGACCAACTTTTCCATTTAAGCAGACTAAAGGAAATAAGTGACCTTAGAAAGGTAATGGGTATTTTACACATTTTTGAAAAATATAGATTCATCAAATTTGGATTTTAGGAATCTCCAAAAGATTCAACCATTTAAAGTATCTGGGCCAAGCACGATGGCTCACACCTGGAATCCCAGTGTTAGGGGAAGCCAAGACAGGAGGATCGCTTCAGGTCAGGAGTTCCAGACCAGCAAGACCTCTGTCTCTCCAAAAAAAAAAAAAAAAAAGTTCAATTTGTTGTTTTTAGCAAATTCAGTATTAGTGTATTCTTAGTCATGGACCCATCACCACAATTTTAGAACATTTTCATCACCCCAAAAAAAGCATCATAACTAATAGTAATCACTTCCCATTTCTTCCTACTTCTTATGCTGGCCTGGTAAACCACTAATTTACTTCTACTCGTAAATTTGCTTATTCTGCACATTTCTTATGAACACACTAATACAACATGTGGGTTTTTTGTGACTGGATTCTTCTACTTAGAATGTTTTTAAGGTTCATTCACATTGTAACATATATCAATACTTCATTCCTTTTGATGGATATAATTCCATTGTTTGGATATATTTTATCAATTGATGAACATTTGGTTGTTTCCATTTTTTACTATTATGAATAATGCTGCTATGAACATTTATGTACACACTTTGTGTGGAAGTATGTTTTCATTTCTCTTGGGTAGGGAATATACCTAGGCATGGAATTGCTAGGTCATATGGTAACTCTGTGTAACTTTTTAGTATGTGCCAGATGTTTTCCAAAGTGGCTGCATCATTTTACGTTCCCACCAGCAATATATAATTTTCAATTTCTCCACATCCTTGTCAACACTTGTTATTGTCCATCTTTTTAATTATTACCCTTTCCAGTAGGTGTGAAGTGATTCCTCATTGTGGTTTTGATTTTCATTTACCTAACGACTTATTGTGTTGAGCATCTTTTCAAATGTTTATTGGTCATTTGACTATCTTTTTGGAGAAATGTCTGTTCAAATCCTTTGCCCATTTTTTAATTGGACTGTGTTTCCTTTTGTTGGACAGAGGTTTCTTTAAAACCTGAAACCAACAAATCTGCCAGTCTTTGTTGAGAGGCTCTGCATGCTTTTTTGGGCATGCTTTCAACATTCAGCCATGCAATTTACAGCTCAGTGTACAGCTTTCACTTCTTACTTGCTCAGAGCTTCAAAATTAGTCATAAGTTGAGAATTTAGGGCCTTCTTAGGTCTTTCTTGGGCATATACATTGCTCTGGGCATGTACACAGTTCTGCTTATTTGCATGACTTTCTAAATTCTCAGGAATATATTTGAGCTTTTCAGGGTCCTCTAAGGACACCTTATTCCTATTATCTACCACATCAGACAGTCATAATGTTAAACAATTACCTCGGAATTTTTTTGTTTGTTTGACAAACACTTACTAGAAGTCTGTTCATACTAGTTGAGCTCCAAGTCAGGTAAACTAAAGACAGCTTTGTGAATAGCATCTTCTAGGAACTACCAGACTGCTGGAATGATGACAATTCTCACGGAATGGTGTTTTAAAGAGCTCCAAGCTCTCTACCCTCTCCAGTTGGTGCCAGGCTTTACATCATGTTTGCAGGCTGTTGATTTTCATGGTTGTTATGGAGCTTGGGTGGAGGGGTGAGAATATGGCAAATTAAAAATGCCACCAAGCTAACTGTTGTTCCTGAGATTCAGATAACAACATTCTTAGGTAAATACTGTGCACGTTGTTGCAAGTTTTTGCTTAATTTTCAGAGTTCTAAAAAAGTTCATTTGACAGTTTTTTACAAACATTCTCACTGTTTTTTTTTTTTTTTTTGAGGCGGAGTCTTCACTCTGTCGCCCAGGCTGGAGTGCAGTGGCACCATGTCGGCTCACTGCAAGCTCCGCCTCCCGGGTTCGCGCCATTCTCCTGCCTCAGCCTCCCGAGTAACTGGGACTACAGGCGCCCGCCACCGCGCCCGGCTAATTTTTTTGTATTTTAGTAGAGACGGGGTTTCACCGTGTTAGCCAGGATGGTCTCGATCTCCTGACCTCGTGATCCGCCCACCTCGGCCTCCCAAAGTGCAGGGATTACAGGCGTGAGCCACCGCGCCCGGCCACATTCTCACCGTTTTTGTGGAGGAAAGAATTTTTGGAGATACTCCACCATGTCATTAGGTGCCTCGAGGGATCTGGGTTGATGCATTGGGTACTATGGGGAATGTGGAAGCTGAGAGTAGTGTGGAGTTTTGAAAGGATGTCTCTGCCTAGGGGCGGAGTTGGGCATGAGGGCAGGACTAAGAAAGAGCGAGTGAAGGAAAAGGTGTGCAGGAAGCAGAATAGTGGAGGGGTGGCTCAGGGTTTGGAGACTTGTCGATCAATTCCCACAACAGAGAAAAGGGAGGACTGAGTGGGTCCTGAAAAATTAGGTAAAGCAGAGTAGTTTGCCTGGTACTAATTTAAAAAAACATACTGGCCTACTGCCACCATCAGGGTTACCCTTGGCTTGGATGCAGCGATGGTAGTTTCCGGGGCATCCGTTTCAGGGCACCGTCAGTCTTCAGCGGCAAGGCCAGTGAGATCCAAATAGGAGGTTTGATCGGCTCTGGAAGGGATGAGGGCGGTCCTTGCAGGGGCCGCTCACAGTCCAACTTCCAGTGGGGTCCTCCGCAGAGGGGGCACGGCCTGGTGGGCTTACCTGGATCTGGGCATTGTCTGGACCAGTGGACTTCATTGCCACACTTGAAACAGGTGCCGGGTGGAGGTAGGTTGCTAGGAGGCTTCCGTGTGGAGCTGCGGCCCTGTAGGCCTGCAGGGCCCCTGGTGGCGGAGGCAAGCATTTGAAACTCCATCCATTTTTGCCTTTTACTTTCCTCATCATGATTGTTAAAGACTACGAAGGCTAAATTAAGAAGTTCTTGTTCTGGGGTTTGAGGGCCGTCGTCAAGCTTCTGAAGCTTGCACCGAATATGGGGGGTGGACTGGGAGATGAACCGAAAGTTTAAGATAGTGGTTCGTTCTGAGGGTTTGAAGGGGGAAGGGAGGTTGAGTCAACAGGCAGTGGAGTTTAGGTAGGGATGTATGGTGGCGGGGTGGGTTTACAAGCCTTAGGAGAGGGCAGTGGGGGAAGATAATGGGTACAGGCAATACTAGAATTGTCCTGAGGAAGGGATGGTTTAGGAAAAGAAGTGGATACAGCTGACTGGGAAGATGGCAGCTGAGAAGACAACGAGGAGGCTTGAGGGGGTTAAAGAAGACAGTTGAGAGGAAAAGGTAGGGGCTGGGAGGGGTGGACAGCAGTCAACTGGATCAAATGAGGAAAAAGAGGTAGAGTTGGGAGGAGAAAGGTGATCAGGGCGGTAAGAATGGAGGGGAAGGATTTGAACAGGTAAGAAGAATTGCAGAGGTCAGGTTGTGATCTGAGTGGAAAAAGTCATGGACATAAGGAATTTCTCCCCATTTTTCCAGTCATTGGCAATAATTGCTTAAGTCAGTTAACATTATAAAGCTGAATGTTCTATTTGCGGGCCATTTGGACCCATTATTTAATTGGTACTGTGGCCAGGCTGTATTGCAAAAAAGACAAAGCGCTTAGGGCGAATATCTTGCCTGAGGCCTAAGGTTTGCAGGTTTTTTATGAAGCAGCCTAGAGGGCTGTTGTTTGGAATGCAGAACTGGGAGTTTCCCATAACAGAGGGTAGGCCCGGGAGAACAGGGAAAAAGGAGACGGTCCTGGAGGGAGATGATAAAAGGAGCAATTGTCACCGCTGCCTTTTTCGTCCATCCATCCGGGAACAGGATCAAATGGCTTAGAGGCATCCCCCTAAGACCAGATGATCAGCGAGTGCCTGGCACACGCCGGAGCCTTCTTGGACCAATGTTGGATTTTTGGACCAGAGAAACTAAGAGGGGCTCTGCGGATTTTCCCTGTTAACCAGGCTTCTGGGGAAACAGTAGGTGAGATCAGTGACCAATGTGCATGCACAGAGAAGCAACTAGAGACCAAGGAGCTTCCTTTGTCTGGCTGCTGTGGCTTGCTCTCTGGGGTGGAGGGGTAGGTCCACGGGGGATGTGGACCAGAACCCCTCCTGGGTTTCCGCACATATAAGGTTCTTGTATTGGTTCAAACCCTGAGAGCGCACCAACAGACAACATGAGGTGGTGTGGATGCTGTTTTAATGAGTGCCTGGGCGCAGGTGGACTGAGGGCTAGACAAAGGTTTTATAGTCTCCTGTAAACAGGAAGTGTCCTAGTCTGACGTAATTGCTATGTTGGACACGATGGCCTCTTTCTCAGTCTTCAGAGGTACGCATCTTCCTGCCGCCTCTCTTCCTGCTACTGCTATCTTGCTGGCGCACACTGCTAGCGCAAGTAGCCTTGCGCCTTGGGACTGGGCCTGAGAAGGGAGGAGTTACTCATCTCCTTAAGCTTTCAGGTCCCAGGGAGAATCTTACACTTTTCATCCCTGCTTTGAGATGCCAGGGAAATCTGCAGGTGTCTTCTGAAATCCAAAGTCCGTTCTAAGCTTGTTTTATAAGAGCGACACACAGTAAGTAATGATGAGTGAGTTTCTCCTCGTGGTCATGAACTTTTGTACCAATACTGAAACCGTCTTTGTAAAATTATAACTGAGGAAATTCTGACAGTGAAAGAAATCAGACCTGACTGACTCCATCTTGCTTCTAACCTGTAAGCTGCCCTCGTTCATTCCTGGGCATAGGGTGAACTAACTTTGGGAAGGAATTCAGTTCATGGTTTGACTCTGAAACAAAATTAGATAATAACCCTTTCCCAAAAAGACCCCCTTCTTGCCTGGGGACTAGTCTGCCTTTGCAGGACTAATAACAAATTAGCTACAAGATTAGAAATTACGGTTTAGGGGTCATGCAGCCTCTGGCTCCAAGAGTCTGAACCTCCCCAAATTGCTCCTGGGGATAACATCCCTATTGTAAAACCTGACATCAGTTCTTGAGATATTTTGCAGACCTTGCACTGGATGGATCAACTGACATTACCCGGATAGGTAATTGGGCTCAACCAGTTCTGCCATCCCACCCAGTGACAGAAAACAGCAAGAAAAGCTCCCTTTGCACCCTATGATTCCATCTCCAAACTGACCAATCAGCACTCCCCACTTCCCAAGCCCCTACCCACCAAATTATCTGTAAACACTCTGATCCCTGAATTCTTGGGGAGACTGATTTGAGTAATAATAAAATTCCGGTCTCTGCACAGCCAGCTCTGCCATTCCCCATTGTAATTACCCTGCCTTGATAAATCGACTCTGACTAGGCAGCATGCAAAGTGAACCAATTGGGTGGTTACAATTCTTAATTATGAAGTTTAAATCTTTTGAAAATATTGTGCCTCAAAGAGGTGCCAACAAAAAAATGAAAGTGATTCTGTATATCGTAAGACGATGTTTCAGAATTTTAGTATACAGTAAGAATTTGAAAACTTTCTTTACCTGTGATCTGTATAGCTATGTTGTACCTGGGAATACAATGTGATACAGAGAATATTCTGCATTAATCTTTCATGAGATTTCTTTATCACTTGGTAAGGTAATGAGGACTCCAATTGGCTTCTTTTGAAAAATCATAAAATCAAAAGAATTCTGGTCTTGAAGGAAAAAAAAAAGGCGAGTTTTACCGCTGCGTTTACCCTGTGTAATCATGGTATTAAAAGAAACAAAAACCTTAAACAACAAAAAGATAATTTTATAGAGTTTATTTGAACAAAGAAAATTCACGAATCAGGCAGCACTCAGAACCAGAAGAAGTTGAGAGAGCTCCATTCTTCAATATGGGCAAGGAGTATAGACAAAACAGGAAAGTGAAGTACATAAATAGCTTGATTGGTTATAGCTAGGCATCTGCCTTATATGGACATGATCTGATCAGTTGATCAGGTTTCAGTTTCTTAACTTACTAAGGAAGATCGCATAGCAATAGAAGTACAGAGACAGCCTTGGGCAAAATTTAAGTTAACAATGGGCAAGTCATTTAGTTGGCTGTGCTTTTACTTCCTCATTTGTTGAATGGTTTTTTTTTGTTTTTTCTTAGCAAAAAACAAAAATAGGTCTATTGTAAGAGTCAAATGACATAATGCTTGTTATGATGTCATTTAAATCATAAGGTCAAATACAGGTATAAGGTGACGATTTTGGTATTTGGTAATGATATGCTATAATGGTTTCCTAGCCAGTATATACTGCATTTACTCTATAGAATTTTTGTATAATGTGCCTCTATTGTTGTTTAGATAAGCAATCTATAGATAGGCTGAATTTGAATTCTGCTCTTCTGTTTTGCTTAAATGTTTCCTTTCTTTGTTTTAGTTGCTGATTGTTGGAGGTTCTTTTGGTCTTCGTGAGTTTTCTCAAATCCGATATGATGCTGTGAAGATTAAAGTAAGAAATATAATTAGAGTTTGACATGTGTCTGTCTGTATGTATGTTCTCATTTAGGAGAATTGTATACTCAGTACACTATGCAGTCTGAGTTTGTCTTGCTTTTCAACGCTAAGATGTGATCTTTGTTTTTTTCTTTAAAATAACATTAGTGATCACGTGGCAGTGAATCATGAAATGTAACTAATTTAGTAATCTATCTTTCTTTCTTTTTCTTTCTTTTTTTTTTTTTCCCCATGGGGTCTCACTCTGTCACTCAGACTGGAGTGCGGTGGCCTATCCTGGTTCACTGCAACCTCCGCCTCCCAGGCTCAAGCGATTCTCTTGTCTCAGCCTCCTGAGTAGCTGAGATTACAGGTGCGTGCCACTACCACTGGGCTAATTTTTGTATTTTTAGTAGAGACAGGGTTTCACTATGTTGGCCAGGCTGGTCTTGAACTCCTGACCTCAAATGATCCACCTGCCTTGGCCTTCCACCCAGTCTAGTAATCTTTCTTATTTCATTAGAAAATTTGCAATATTGTTAGCATTCTCCCACAAAATGTGATCTGGTGTAGCTGTTTTTAGGATTTAGAAGGGATTAAAAAACATAGGTCAATAATTTTGCTTTATTTTTCTCTAATTATATTTCATATTAATATCCATAATTGTATAAAGTATATTGATATGTATCTTTAATAATTGTTACTAAAAGAAAGGAAAACTATTTTTCAGTATAAATAAAGACACCTACATTTATAGTGTCTACTTTGTAGTAGGACTATATTAGTTCATACACACACATACACACACACACACACACAGATGATCCTTGATTTATAATGGGGTTATGTCTTGCTTTAAACTCATTGTAAATTGAAAATATTGTAAGTAAAAAATGCATTTAATACCTGATTAAGTGGATTGTAAAGTAAAAGAACTGTAGGTTGAAACATTGCAAGTTGGGGACTGTCTATATATTATCATCTTTATTTTACAGGTGAGGAAACAGGGGGTCTATACATTAACTATAGTGGATCTGTACATGAAAAAAACGGAAGAAAAATTTTAAAAGCTTAATTAAATTGGCTAAGGTCACATGGCTACTTACGGGTAGAGCTAGGATTCTCACCCTGTGTAATCACACAATTGTGAAATTCAGGTGTTACATAAGAACTCTGTTTTTTTCATTCAGAAGTACATAGCTTTTGTTTGTGGCACATATCTGATATTTGTAGTTTTTTTTCCCAAGTAATATATATATTTTATTAGCAGACCTCAGTAATATCGATAGAAAAGTAGAGTATAAAGTTCTATTCAGTTTCCTCAGTTAATTTTATGGTTTTAAGAGAAACCAACATCAGCTAGTTTTAAAGACAGTAGGTATTAGGGTAAATATTAAATTTTAAAAAATGTGTACTTTCTATGAAGGAATAGAACAATTTTATTTAATGAGCAATTTTACTTAATTTTCAGTTAACTTTCAATTTAACTGTGTTAGAAGATTTCAGTTAGCATCCCAATTACTTTGTCAAGGAATTTTTTTCTTTTTCTCTTTAAGATGAAAATTATGGTAGTATATGACATTTGAAGGAGAAAATAAGTATGTATTTGGAACATAATTGAATAGTAGTCATGTGTTAATATTTGTTAGATACTGCAAGTAAAGTATTCAGAAACTAGTACTTATAAAGTTTATAATTGAGGCTGGAAGACAGCTAATAAAAAAAATGTACCCAGACATATAATATAGCAATGCCAGTAAAATGCCATTATTAGAAGTTCAAGGAGAGCTGTATAGTTTTAACTTGGAAAAGGAGAATCAGAGAAGGTTTTCTAAAGGCATTAGCCTTTGAATTAGGCTTTAAGAATGAGCAGGAATTAACTAAATGATAGAAATAACTTATATTCTATAAGGTAGAGGGAGTATTGGGCACATGGTCAGTGTTTCATTTTAGAAATAGCTCGCTGGCAGTGGAGTACAGGTGGATGGTTTTTGGGGGACCAAAATGGAAGAGAAAATATTGTTTAGGTTGGAAGTAAAGAGACCTGTTAGGATTCTGGGGCAGTAGCATGGATGAACAATAATGGAACCTGAAATAACATATTTGCAATGATGATAAAGAGAAATTAATGAGTTCCAGCAATAATTTTAGCAGCAAATTGATAGTATTTGATGACTAATATATGTAATATAAAAATATGAATAAATCTAGGATGACTCAAGGTTTTGGTTTTAAGGACTGGGTAAATGGTAGTGCCAATAATCCAGTGTATTAGTCTGTCTTCACACTGCTAATAAAGACCTACTCAAGACTGGGTAATTTATACAGAAAAGAGGTTTAATTGACTTACAGTTTCACAAGGCTGGGGAGGCCTCAGGAAACTTACAGTCATGGCAGAAGGGGAAGCAAACGTGACCTTCACATGGTGGCAGGAGAGAGAAATGAGAGCCTAACGAAGGGGAAAATCCCTTATAAAACCATCAGATCTTGTGAGAACTTGCTGTCACGAGACTAGCATGGGGGAAACCACTTCCAGGATTCAATTACTTTCCACTGAGTCCCTCCCATGACATATGGGAACTGCAATTCAATATGAGATTTGGGTGGGGACACAGCCAAACCATATCACCCAGTTAAGGAGAACAGGGGAGGCTGAGCTACCAGGTGAGGTTTAGGAAATGGAGTCAAAGTAAATGGAACAAGGTTAGGTAAGGTTAACAGAATGAGGTTGATTGAAGTTGAGAGGACAAGGTCAGTTGAAGTCAAGGGAATTAAGTTAAAAGAATGGGGGATGGTTAAGGTCTATAGGAGGAAGATGAGAGGACATAGTTGAGGTGAGAAGGATCAGAAGACAAGGCCTATGAGATTTAGAGGCCTAGGTTGGTTGATGTTGAAAAGTCAAACTCAGGTGATCAAGAGTCAGTGTTTGGGTGAGGTTCAGTTCCAGTTAGGTAGAGAAGATGAGGTAATGTTGAGAGGAGTTAAGAGGTTGAGTTTTGTCCTTGAGGATTGAAAGGATAAGACTGGTTGAGGCTGATAGTGGTTGCATGGGTTAAGAGATTGAGGTTAGGGTGGTTAAGAGGGTAAATTGCTAAGGTCAAGGGGGGTTGACACTGTGGCCTAAAGGAAAAACTTGCATCAAAAGAGGATGGGTTCAGCTGAGAAGTTTGGAAAAGGATGTAGAAAGGACAGTATGGATTTGGGGTGACCAACCATCATTGTTTGCCTGAGACAGTCCTGATTTTTGTACTGAAAGTTTGGCATCCCAGGAAAGAAAACATCTGGCTTCTCAGTAAAGGATGTGCAAAGGACAGGGGAAAGTATAAGCCTAAAAAAGTAAGAGCTGGAAGCAACAGCTTTCAAGTTTTAGAAAATGATTTGGAATAGTTTATCTGCTGTCCCTAGTGGCTGTTGCTGATTTTTTCTCATGAGTGCTGATACTAACCACCAAGGATCCATAATAATGGATCATACATTGTTGCATCAGACCAAGTGATGTGATTTAAGTGTGCAATATAAGTATGCTACATTTGCGAGCAGTAAGTCTTCAACTTTGCCTGCCTGTTGTGCTTTATAACAGATGGTGTTAGTTCAATTTTTAACATTATAAATATTGTGACCAAGTTTTCTAAGATTAGATAATGAAAATGAGAACAGTTATAATACCAGTGCCAGTATGATTCAGACATCACTGAAAAAGGAAGCTAAATGACTCTGTCATTTTAATGACATATGGAAGGACACATACAACTGGATTAAGGAATTAAATAACCAAAACGGAGCATGCTGCACAGTATGCAAACAAGAAATTGAGATTGGGCATGGTGGAGACAGGGATGTGAAAACAGATATGAAGACTGAATCTCACAGGTCCAGGATGAGGCAGGCAAGTACTTACAAATCAATCATAAGTTTACTCATCTCCCCGAAATACAATACTATACTCAGTCTAAAATAGAGCTGCTGAGTTAGCTTGTGCATACCATACCAATGAGAACATGCATTATCATATTGTTCTCTTGATTGCTCTATGAAATTGACTAAAGTGACATTTTTCTGATTCAGAGGTTAGAACTATTAAAATATCCTATGGATGAGCAAAAGGGGGACTGGTACCAGGTCTGTTGTCCTCCTATGTATACTGTTAAATTTTACCAAGGATCGTGCTTTCTGTAGTATATCAATGCTAAACTGAAAAATGGCACCAAGAAATGTCCAGGTACTTGATTAAGAAAAAACTGAGTTTTAAATTATATTCTAGGGCCAGGCATGGTGGTTCATATGTGTTAATCCCAGCACTTTGGGAGACCGAGGTGGGTGGATAACTTGAACCAGGAGTTCAGGACTAGCCTGGGCAATATGATGAAACCTCATCTCTACAAAAAATGCAAAAAATTAGCCAGGCCTGGTGGTGCATGCCTGTAGTCCCAGCTGCTTGGGGCTGATCTGGGAGGATTGATTTAGCTCAGGAGTTTGAGGCTGCAGTGAGCTGTGATCGTGCCATTGCACTCCAGCCTGGGTGACAGAGCGAGACCCTGTCTCAAAAAAACAAACGACCCAAAAAGCCAAATTATCTTCTGATTTCTTTGAAGATTTTAATGAAACCACAGAAAATGTAAAACCAAAAATTGTTCATATCTTGTCAGTTGTTGCTTTTGCCCAGTTTTCTTTATGAGATGCCAATCAGATATATGTTCTGTTCTTTAACTATGCTCAACATTTCTATTCTGATTTTTCAGTGTTTTCCCCCCATTCTTTTTTTTTGTACTTTATTTTTGTATATTTTCTATTGTTTTATCTTCTAGTCACTAAATTTCTCTTTTGCTGTGTTCAATCTCCACATAAAGCCATCCCTTGATTTCGTGATTTCAGTTACTATATTTTTTAGTTTTAAAATGCACATTTAATTCTTTATTACACATTCTAGTACTCTGGAGAAATCTTCTCTGATGCCATATTTTAATCTATTTTTTCCTTTGATATCTTGAATATATACAAATTATTGTTACTTTAAAG